TACATCTTAGCTGAATCTGTGCTTGTACTATTGTCTTTCATCCACCTGCTTCTGGAAATATATCTAAAAGCAATTCTCTTTGACCTGATGGGTCCATTCTATATAATGCCATTCGTTGTTAACTGTTGAGCAGTATTCATCAACTTCATCCAATATTTTTCTCTTTTACCATTCAGGTGAAATTCAGTGCGAGCAACCTAATAATTCCCTGTACACTTTCGCTGGGAATCTTATAGCAGAAAAGCAGACTTTACCTCTCTCTCCAGACCAGCTTTTATTGCGTGTATGATCGACTGTTTCTGCTTTTAGCTGTGTGTTCCTTTTCTGCCTTATGTCTACAGGATTTCATTATTCAAGATCTTTTTTGGGTTATGTAAATCTTCTACATTTCAATTCTCAGGGATGCAGTCTTAGGAACACGGAACACATTGTTGGTGCTGTGATATTTACTGGTCATGAGACGAAGGTAAGCTGCCGTGAAGCCTATTTTATAAGAAACTAGCTATGAAAAAATTATTGCTATGCAAACATTCAGGATTATTCTTTTTAATGACATTTTCCTGTTTTTGCATCCTTCTATATTTTCTATGTATACACTCTGTCTGATCTACTTTATGGTGAATGCAATGTATACAGGTGATGATGAATGCCATGAATGCTCCTTCCAAAAGAAGTACGCTGGAAAAGAAACTCGACAAACTCATTATTACTATCTTCTGTGCCCTTGTCATAATGTGCNTGATTGGAGCTATAGGCTGGTATGGATTCTAGTCAATATAGTGGTTCATAGACCGTTTTGATTTAAAAATTCTGTTGAATTTTGCAGTGCAATCGTGACAGATCGTGACCACTATTATTTGGGTCTTCAAAAGAAAGATTGGGAATACCTTAATGGAATGACGGTAATAACCTTGCATAGTTCAGTTGATTTATTGTATATATGGATTGTTGCTTATAGTACTTTTTGGTGCCACAGATAGCCTTTTTCACATTTTTTCACTCTAATCACTCTTTTCTCTACAATTATACCGATCTCCTTATATGTTTCTATCGAGGTAGGTCTTTCCAAATTTCTTCTTTTAATTTCATTTATCTGCAGTACACAAATTAAGTAACTTTGAATGCTTCCTCTTTTTCCTCCGCAAATGGAACACAGATGATCAAGTTTATTCAGTCAACTCAGTTTATTAACCGAGATCTTCACATGTATCATGCTGAGACAAATACTCCTGCCTCCGCCAGAACTTTGAATTTAAATGAGGAGCTTGGACAGGTAAACCACTAATCCACTCGCCCATTACTACATGTTTGATATTATTGGGTTTATTGCAACTATTTGGATTGTTGCTAAATCTTCTTATGAATGATATGCTTCTTTTTTTATTCCTGATCTGACATTCATAGTTGCAATAATTGGCATCTTTCAGGTGGAATACATATTTTCTGAGAAAACCGGAACTCTCACAAGAAATTTGATGGAGTTTTTTAAATGTTCAATTGGGGGGATAAGTTATGGATGTGGTATTACTGAAATAGAAAGAGGAATTGCTCAGCGTGATGGCTTAAAAATTCAGGAGTTATAATTTCTTCTCATATGAGGATGTTGCATCACATATTATGGAACAAGAAGTGATCCTATTGTTCTTCAGGAACGAAGGTCGACTGGTGCTATAAGAGAAAAGGGTTTTAATTTTGATGATCCAAGGCTTATGCGAGGAGGTTGGAGAAACGAACCTAATCCTGATCTTTGCAAGGTGTCTTTCATATCCTATAAATTTGATTCACAATCTGTTTAAGAATTGTAACAGCTAGGTGATATGTTATTTGGCTAGTTTTAATTTTGCTTCTTTCCAAGTGTGTAGCTTGAGTACAAGTTTTCTGGGAGAAAGGATGAGATATTCACTTTTCATGATGTTAGTGTTATTTCCTTCCCTGTTCGTCTATGATTTCACTTATGCCTATGCATGTGTTCTTTATGCTATGGAAAACAGTTAGTAGTCCTGAGTTGCCTTCTCCTGTAAGTAGAGACCAGGAAAATGGATGATTTACTTCTGATAGTTTCTTTCAGTGGTTGAGATTACCTTAAAAAATTACCTTAAGTTGGTATTTTGGCCTTGACCAGTACCTGAAGTTCGGCCTCTGTTCTGGGAGCCTTGAATGAGAAAAACCAACAAAACATTTTTAAAAAACTTCCATTTAGAGAGACTAGTTAACTATAGGATTCCATATTTCTTCTCTGTTATTGGACATGCACATGACTCAACTTAATGTATTGTATTTTGATTTTTGTAGGAATTTTTTANATGCCTAGCCATATGCCACACTGTCCTTCCTGAAGGTGATGAGTCCCCCGAGAAGATTGTTTATCAAGCTGCATCTCCAGATGAAGCTGCTCTAGTTACAGCTGCTAAGAATTTTGGATTCTTCTTTTACNGGTTATTCTCATTTACGTTTCAGTTTCCAATAGNAAGTTGAAAATACAAGCTNTCTGACAAGAATAAAGATTCAATTAGTAAGCTAGACCCCGTAATTACTGTCTTTTATGTATTTTTTATAAATATCTTTTTCCACTGAGATGAGAAAAGGGGCTNTTGTTTCTCAAGTCTGTGTGAGTTTCTTTGAGAAAATTTTCATGTATATTCAGGCGTACTCCAACTATGGTGTATGTTCNTGAGTCTCACACGGAGCAGATGGGAAAGATCCAAGATGTCTCTTATGAGATTCTTAACGNTCTCGAGTTCAACAGGTCTATAAGGCTGCGGAATGTTAGCTTGTTATCTCTTTTCCATGGTTAAGCATACTAATGAAATGNTACACCATGCATTAACAGTACGAGGAAGCGCCAGTCTGTTGTGTNNCGTNTTTCAGATGGGAGACTTGTACTCTACTGTAAGGTAAACAGTTTTTTAGGTAGTTAGATGAGCTTGTGTACTTNCATATCGAATTTNACCGCTGCTTCGAATAATGTCTACAGGGTGCAGATACTGTAATTTTCGAAAGATTGGCTTACGGTATGGATGATGTTAGAAAAGTAACTGGTTTGCAACACTTTGGATCGTCTGGGTTGCGTACCCTTTGCCTGGCCTATAAAGATTTAAATCCTGAAGCCTATGATAGTTGGAATGAAAAATTCATCCACGCCAAGTCTGCTTTACGAGATCGTGAGAAGAAGTTAGATGAGGTATACTGATATTTCGTTTTTTTTCTTGCAACACTTATGGCAATGCTAAGATAGAAAACGGCTAGCAGCCGCTATAAGAATTTGTTGATCTGGCTACTCATCATATAGCATTGAGAGTAATTCTTTGGTGTGTTTCTGAGTTGCCTGGTGATATCCTCTTTAATTTATAGCAGGAAAAATGTTGTAATCTTGGTCCATGCAGGTTGCAGAACTTATTGAGAAGGATCTTATCCTGATTGGATCAACTGCAATAGAAGACAAGCTTCAGGAAGGGGTACCTACCTGCATAGAGACCTTATCAAGAGCTGGGATTAAGATCTGGGTGCTGACAGGGGACAAGATGGAAACTGCAATTAATATCGCATATGGTAAATGCCACAAACTTTTTCTCTTCATCCTTTTCTTTCTTCCAGTTTAACTTTGTGCTCCTTGATTCTTTTAATGTTTCAGCTTGCAACTTGATCAACAATGAAATGAAAGAGTTTTTTATCAGTTCTGAAACTGATGCAATCAGGGAAGCTGAAGAAAGGGTAAGTCATACAGATGCCTCTTATATTTGTGTGTATGATTATCAATTTATCATTGACTACAGTCCTAATAGTTGAAAAAATATCTAAAACTAGGGTGACCAAGTTGAAATTGCGCGTGTTATTAAGGAAGAAGTAAAGAAGGAGCTGAAGAAGAGTCTTGAAGAAGCTCAACAATACATGCATACTGTAGCTAGACCAAAATTGGCTCTCGTTATCGATGGGAAGTGTTTGATGTATGCATTAGACCCCATTTTACGTATAACTCTGCTCAGCTTGAGCTTGAACTGTACTTCGGTTGTGTGCTGTCGCGTTTCTCCTTTACAGAAAGCGCAGGTAATTTCAGATGACTTGTTTTATAAAAAAAATAGTTACATGGGTTCTGGTATGACAAACAAATGGTCCTGATTCTTCTCTGAAATAACGGTTATATTATTGCTACTCGGGGGATTTTGTCGCGCAATAGATATAATTGGTGGAACATATGTTCGTACCTCTTTGTTCTTGTGACCGACATCTGATAAATAATCAGTGACTCTGATGTAAATTTTAGGTTACAAGCTTGGTGAGAAAAGGGGCTAAAAAAATGACACTGAGCATTGGTGATGGTGCCAACGATGTTAGCATGATTCAAGCNGCTCATGTTGGTGTAGGAATAAGTGGGATGGAGGGAATGCAAGCTGTGATGGCTAGTGATTTTGCCATTGCTCAGTTTAGATTTCTTACGGATTTGCNTCTTGTCCATGNACGCTGGTCATATCTTAGAATCTGCAAGGTTGGTTTTCTCCCTCACCTCAAACTTAGTTTCCAAATGTTGATGTTACTAGCAATGATCTTCTTTTTTTTCCCCAGAGGTGGTCATGTATTTCTTCTACAAGAATATTACCTTCACTTTGACTCAGTTTTGGTTCACATTTCGAACCGGATTTTCGGGTCAAAGGTTCTATGATGATTGGTTCCAGTCATTATACGTTTTCTTTACTGCTCTTCCTGTGATTGTCCTTGGGCTGTTTGAGAAGGTAAAGAGTATTCTTAACAGAACACCATTGTAGGATCTTCGTCTATGCATTAAAGTACGACCACCATAATCTCGAACAACCCAAGATGCCCATGCTACGTTACCATCTCTTGAGTCTTGACCAACACACTCCCACATTGCACTTCACCGATCCAAAGCAAGGTGGTTCCCACATTCTTTCTCTACTATTTTCCTCACTGCGTTCTTGTGCCACTGGTTTATTCACTTCAAGCCAACTAAGTGCATCATAAGCTTTCTTAACCACCAGATTTGCAGGAATGAATCTTCTCTCAAACAACAAGAAGTTCCTATTCTTCCATAGTTGCCGTATGATCCAGGGTGGTCACACACTTCAAACATATGCTGAATTTTTGGTCTTCTGACAACAACGATGCACAACATTTTTATGTTAATGTCTTAACATATCTATGAAGGGTCTTTAGTTACGTTTACTCTAGACAAAGCTGAAAGAAGCAATATGATCGTCTCGTGTCTTCCGGGTTAGAGTCACTCAGAATGAGAGTAACGGTGAAAGGAGCAGGTCCAGTTGATTTTGCTGCTGAAACAAGATTTTTGCTTAAAGACATCATCACCTAGATATATAATAAACTCTTCTGCATTTTATATTTATATAATTATTAAGAGTACTTTATTATCTTATATAATTATAAGAGTTATAACAATAGAGTAGCGTAACTCGAGTAGATCAACTGAAAAGTAGGATAACTTCAAGACAAGATTCAAAACTTTCTATCATTTCTTCGTTTAAACTTCTTGGAAGGTTTCTTCTTTTCATTGATACCTCCCAAGAACCTCTCTCTCTCTTCATCCTCTTCTCCCCTTTTCTTCTTGCCTCCACCGCCGCCGACTGATTCATTCATATTCTACAACATAAATTGCCCAAAAACGCTTTAGTTTAATTCTCTATATTACCCAAATCAAAAAAGTAATAATCTTGTAATTATATATGTGAACCAATTATCTAATCCTACTATTAACCCTAATCTTTAATCAAAACTGATTCTTGTAATAGTGCAGAGTAAAAATACCATCGCGGATAATCTTCTGGCTTCTGCAACTCTCTCCAACAATAACATGACTTCGTCTTCCTCAGCTGGATAAACTGGTATTGTCTTCTCTGGATGTCAAAAAAAAAAAACATTGATGAATGTCGTTTCATCCTATGAGAGACCAAAATATAAAGTGTACCTCTGCAGATATATTTTACTTACCAATGAGTTTCTCTATTAGTTTGAACAATCCAACCTCATACTGGTTTACAAGCGATATCGCGACACCAGAACGTCCAGCACGAGCAGTTCTTCCCACTCTGTGAATGTAATCCTACAACACAGATATGGACCCTGTGTTCTCAACATCATTGATTCAAAAGAAACAAAGCAGAAAATTTGAATTTTCAAAACAAAAAAAGGGGCAAACCTTTGAATTTGTGGGAATGTCGTAATTGATGACCGCATCAACCAATGGGATATCGAGTCCTCTACTAGCCACGTCCGTACAAACCAGGATGTTGCATTCCCCGGCCTTGAACTTATTCAAGGCTCCTAGTCTCTTCGACTGTCAATTTTTTGAAAAGAATGAGAGAGAGAGAGTTCAGAGAGAATTAAGTCACCTCAGAAACTGGACTGTATGTATCACTAACCTGAGTCATTTGACCACTGATAGGAATGGCTCTAAAACCAAGGCTTCGAAGCAACAAAGCCAGAAAACGAGTTCCATCACACGTCCGAGTGAAAATCATTGATGATGATTCAGGTATTTCACTCAGAACGTATACAAGATAGCAATCCTGTTACGGTGAAAAAGAAAAAGAAGCTCATCCAGTCAAAGAAGATAAAAACTGTTTTATCTGTTTGATACTATCTACCTAGCGGGCTCGTCTGGTGAGTAACAAACAAGGTACCTTGTATTTAGCAGGAACAAGTCGAAACTGCTGTTTCAGAGTATCAACAGTGGAATATTTGGAGGCAGCTTCGATCTGAGGGAAAGCAACGAGCACACAACTATTATACATCTACAACTACGATAGATGCTGTGACAAGGAATAATATCAAGTGTCTACATACCTTCACAGGATTCCTCAAACAAGCCCTTTGAAGTTTTCGAACCTACAAAGCCATAATAAAAAAAAAGTCAGTGCCACTCCCCAGAAATGCTACAGTATTATGAGACAGTTAGGTCGATCAAGGCAACAAACAAAACTGTCAGGCAAGGCCCTACCTTTTTAGTCATAGTCGCTGAAAAAAGATATGTTTTACGGTCACGAGGGATCTCTTCCAAAATCTGGTTAAGAGATTTCTCAAAGTCTTCGTTCAGCAGTCTGTCTGCTTCATCGAGAACCTGTTGAATAATGATAAGTGAGTATAAAAATGATAGGGGCTACAAACAGAAGGTACAAAACTAAAAAAATTACCAGATATTTCAGGGTTTTCAGAGAAAAGCCTTTTGTGTCAGACAAATGATCCCACAGACGACCAGGTGTTGCAACCTACGAAACAGCATTGCAAAAGTAGCGAATAGATTCACTCAAAAGTGCCAAGACAGAGACAAAGGACCCTAGGATGAGAAGAGAAAACAATTTCAGAAATAAACGTACAATAACATGAGGCCGTTTCGCAAGAGCAATGGTTTGTTGCATTCTGTCTAAACCTCCAACAAGCTGAAAACCCCAGGAAAAAATGATTCAGACTAGATCTCTAGACCCATTCAACAGAACAAGGGTGAAAGAATCAGAGCTTACCACAGCACACCTAAGACTTATATCAGATCCTAGAGCTGCAAACTGCTCAGCAATCTGGATTGCAAGCTCTCTGGAGGAAAGAGTACACAACACTCAAAAACCCAATAATAATGACCAAATAGACATGAGCAAGAAGAAACTCATCATACCGAGTTGGAGATAAAACACAAGCGAAGAAAGCAGGATCAGGTCTACGCCCTTTCTTAGGCTCAGAATCATAAACATGCTCAAGAAGTGCCTGCAATATTGGCAAAGCAAAGGCTCCGGTTTTACCAGATCCGGTTTGCGCAAGTCCAATTACATCTTTCCCTGAGCCAGACACCAATCAAAACATTAGATTCCAATTGATAAACCCCTATTTATCCGAATACAGAACTAAGAGCACCGAAATCAAAACAAGAACAAAATAACCTACCTTCAAGAGCATAAGGAAGGGCTTCGGCTTGAATTTTTGATGGAATTTTCCATCCCAATCTTTCGCAAGCCTTCACAAGCTCTTCACGCACACCGAGTTCTGCAAATGTCTTCTCCACTCCCTTCTCTTCCTCCATTTCGATACACGCCAAGAAATCGCTACCTCAATCAACCGGTCTAAAGGACGATCGCGTTTGAAAGATTTCCGACGGAAAAGCGCGGTGCGGATAGGGAAAATCGAGTATTTATCAAGGCTTGTTAGTCAGGTTAATTTACCCTAGTATGGGTGAGGGTGTCAATGTGGGCCTATGTGGGCCTAAAGTCCGGGATTAATCCGCACCGCTATATATGAGCGGGTTAAGGCTATATAATTTTATGCTAACAGAAAAATTGCACTTTGTTTTTTTTTATTGTCTAAATTTATTATTATTCTAATAAAAATTAAAAGAACTGTTATATCGACGATTCTATACAACGGATAAGTTTTCCACTTTACGTCATATCATATTTTGTCCCACGTTAAATATCTCTTTTAAGATTGCATATATTAATCTACATAAATATTAATAAATCGTATTTTTTGACCGTCGCACGTTAAAAAAACAAAAATCATATTAAAATATCATATTAATAACAAAAAAAAACACGATCCTCAGGCTTGTAATATCCAAAATCTTACCAAAATGCTCTACCGTTTGCATATTCAAATCTTTTAGAATTATATTACTACTATTGGTACCAATTTCTTCTAATGTTTTACTTATGTTTTCGATCTAAATTTTTGAAGTTTTTAATTCTTGTATAAGTTTCTACCGCTAAAACAATATTTCACAAGGGAATTGTGTCTTACTTAGAAGATGGTTATTTGGTTACTAAACACAGA